TCGGTTGCTTAGCCTTACGTTGCCCTTCCAAAGATCATCAGGAAGGCGTTGCGTAACATATATTATGATTTTATTTTATTGTATTACAACTTTATTAGTCGTTAACAACTGTTATCACTCTATTTTAAATTGTTAATGGTTATTTAATATTGGCTTTAAGTTGTTAATGGTTATCTAATATTGGCTTTAAGTTGTTAATAGTTAAATAATTATCTAATGTTGGATTACCTAGCAAATAGATGTTAGGCGCCATCACAGTACCGAAGTTAGAAATTCGGGTCGTGACAACTTTAAAGCCAAGTAACTTGAATAGTTAAGAAATTAGTTTAAGAAAGAAGTGGTCAAAATGCAATGGCAAAAAGTTGCAACAGTAAATGCGATAATAACAATAAATAATAAAAATAAAAATAATAATAATAATGATTTATAAAAATAACCCCTTTTAAAAATGGTAAAAACATTGTTGCTACTTAATATTAGTGCAAATTCAAGAATTATCTTCAATAAACAATAGCAAACTATATAAAATTAAAGTGAAAAAAGAAAAAAGAATATTCGACTCGTTGGAAGGCACAATATCCAGTTAAGTAGTTCAGTGGACTACATGGAGCTACACACAGAAATTAAAAAATGAGAGCAATGTCCAGTTGAATATATATATAAAAAAAAGGACGTACTTTCTGCAAATCTCTTCAAATTTTGCCATCAAATAGAAGATGGCAGCACTGTCTATGACTTGGTCTTGCTCTCCCTTAACCTCCTCCAAATTTAGGCGAGTCAACCGGTGAGTTTTACCTTCATTTCTCTATATCAAATTCCATTCCGTCTTTTAATTATAGTTTTTGGGTATTATTTTCTTCTTTCATTTCACCCATTTTATCGATCAATTTTCTGCCCCAGCTACTGATTCATTCTTCAAAAAGACAATCTTTTTTTGCTTTGTAAGTCTTAAAAATGCAATCTTTTTAAGTGGATGGTTATTGGTTGAATTAACGGGTTGCGGTTGGTTACAGATATCCAGGGATGGCATTTGCAAGTGTGAAATCTACTGAAGGGTTGGGGAATTTACCCAAGGTCGTTTTGACTTCTCCTCATGGAAGGTGCATTCTTAGTTTTTAGCTTAATGGTTCAGATTAGATGTTAATTTATTAATTGCTGATTGTGAAGGCTAGCTAAAATTGTAAATTTTCTGTCCAAGTAGGATTGTAAGAAATAGTTGTGGCAACAGAAGTCAGCCATTTGATGTAGAAGCTTAATCCTAAACCATAATGGTACTATATTAATTACTCAGAAAAGGTCTAATCTTGAAGGATTAAATATATTGGGCTATGTTCTCAAAGATGAATAAGGAAATAGTAATGTAATGACAAGGGTAGTGAAGATCTTCCAAGTTCTTCATGTTGAACTGATCACAATCTGGACAAAAAACTAGTTGTTCTGAAAAATGTCGGATGTCAAGTTTTTCTTTCCCTTATTTTGCAGTGAGGCAGAGCTATATCTATTTGGAGCTTGTCTCACATCTTGGAAAGTAGACAGTAAAGATCTTCTTTTTGTTAGACCAGACGCTGTATTCAATGGTCAAAAACCAATCAGGTTTTGTACATGTTCCGTTTTCCTTTAATTTTGTTATTGCTGCAGTATCTTAAATTTCTTATTTGAAACTGAAAGAGCTAAAGAAGTTGTATCACCTTCCTTACTGACTATTCTACGTTGTATAGTGGAGGAATACCACATTGTTTCCCCCAATTTGGACCTGGCCCAATCCAGCAGGTAAATAGCTTCACGTGTTTCGATGTATATATTTTAGACTACTTATAGTTAGAGAGCTCAGCATCTCTTACTGGAGAAGCAACTCTTTTACAAAATTTTCAACTGACAATATCTGCTGCCAACAAACTCTAGCACTTAGTTAGATGCTAGAAAAATATTTTAAAGCTCCACTTAGAGTTATATTGGTAATTACGGCACGCAAATATGTCAACTTATTCTTGGACAAGTTATCTGATCAGTTTCTGGATGCTGGTTTTGAGTCTTACATGTGCTCATCTGATTGACAGCACGGATTTGGAAGGAACATGAATTGGTCTCTTGTTAGCTCTGAAAATGTGGAAGGGAATCCTATTGTTACTGTGGAGCTAAAGGATGGCCCTTACAGCCGTGCGATGTGGGACTATAGTTTCCACGCTCTTTACAAGGTTCGAGTAGTAGAATTTTAGCATCTTTGCATTTACCAATCAAAATTGTCGTCTTGTTTATCCTCATATTCCTAGATTGCTTCTGCAGCTAATTAGCCGGTCACAGAGGGCTAAACTGGATAAATACCTGTTTGAGTATACAGAAACGTTGAAAGCTATTGGCAGAGCTATGGGGAAAATGCCCTGCTACCTTTGCATCTCAAAATGATGTTTGCCCATGTTAATTTGTAATTTTTCAAAACTAACTAGTACATTTTTTTTTTGAAAAGGTAAGTAAATTTTGTTAATGTAAGCACCAAGGAGGTACTGCAAAACAGAAGTAAACAATTTTCAAAAGTAACCCCCCCACCTCCCTCCAATTTTTCTGAGAAAGTTATATTACCCTCTTCCCTATATCTATCGGCCCACAACTCTCAAATCCAAACTCTATCACTGGTATGTGACTTTTATGTAAAGGAATCTGATAAGGGACTCTCATTTACGTACTTTGGTGAAACACCTATTTGATGTGATAGATGGCTATGGTATACTGTATACATATCCAGTAACGCGTAGTTACAATCCACATTCTTTTGATCAAGCATGATACATGATAAAACTTTTAACTTTGCGTTTTGCAATTTCTTGCAGATCACTCTTGATAAGAAGACCCTTTCCACGGAATTCACAGTTACAAATACTGACAACGAACCATTTTCATTTACTACTGCTCTTCATACTTACTTCCGCGTAAGTATTTCTCTGGCAACTTATGAGTAGAAATTTCCATAATTGGGGCACATCTCCTGAAACTTTTGAACTTTATCAGGAATTCAAGGCCTGTCAAATTATAGTGTTGGGAAATGGAATAATAAGATATTGTTTAATCCCAAAAGAATAAATAAGATGTCAATACTGAATAATCTTGGTCTGCTGTCTCCCTCTAATAAACCTCTCCTTTTTTCTTTTTTCTTTCTTTTCCCTCAAACATTTTGGCTTTGGGGGTGATGAAAGTTAACTCATTTCCTTAAGAATTTCATTTTCTTTCTCATAAAATTGATTCATGATCATTAGTAAGCTTGTTATACCAAAAAGAAAAATCTTTTTCATCCATTGTTCTATTCTCCAGGCTTCTGTAACAGGTGCATCAGTTAGTGGCTTAAAAGGTTGCAAAACTCTAAACAAAGTTCCTGATCCGACAAATCCTGTGGAGGGCAAGGAGGAAAGGTCAGTATGAGGTCTCAAATAGATCAAGAAAGAGTCATTCTCTTCTACCAGGATATACTTATTATCATTTTTCATGACTGCAAATAAGAACATACCTTCTTTATGGTATTTTCTCAGATTAATGGTATTTGTTCATGCATTCTGCAGAAACTAATCCACATTCTGACAATTTTTCTCTGCTACAGGGATGTGGTGACATTTCCTGGATTTGTGGACTGTGTTTATCTTGATGCACCTAATGAGTTACAGCTAGATAATGGTTTGGGTGATAAGATATCCATCAAAAACAGCAAGTGAGATACTACTTCTCAGCCACTTTGTTCTCAGGGAGTTAGTTGGTCAAAGTACTATCTTTGCCCCCAGTTGTCTAATTTAGCAAGTTGAATGTGTTTTGTATGTGCAGCTGGTCTGATGCTGTTCTATGGAACCCTCATCTGACCATGGAACAAAGCTACAAAGACTTTGTTTGCGTTGAAAATGCCAAGGTATTTATATAGGATCTCTCTGTGTTACTACATTGAAATGTGTTTCTAGATTTCTTCGACCCATTTCCTTTGACATTCTGCATGTGATTTCCACATACATTTGATCTAATTGAAAATTAGTAACCTGTTGCCTACCCAATTGCATGTTATTTCTCTTATTTATGGTTGAAAAGCTTCGGATGCTTGACCTCATTTGCTATTTATTCCTTTTTATTATTTTCCCTCGTTCATATCAGATTGGAAAAGTTCAACTGGAACCGGAGCAATCTTGGACGGCTGTACAACATCTAACTGTTGCTTAAAGATGGATGAGTAGAGAAATCAACTTTTTGGAGAAATCTTTGCTGCTTTTCAAGTTAAAAGGCTAATCTCTGGACAATGGTTGAGAAGGACAATACACAATAAAAAAATAATGTTGTATCTTGCATGGCATGATTTTCATGGCAATTAGAGTGTTGAAGTGATATTTTCATATTCTTTCCCTCTTCTCTCCCCCTTTAATCTCCACTTTATTTGCCAAATCCTCAAAGTTAGGAAATGAAGCTGCCAAACATGTATGTTGGATTCTCCAAATTTTGTGATTGAGGGGGAAATGTACTATGTATAAGGAAAAGAAAAAGGAAATGCAAGTTCTTGATTCATTCTGAACTGAGTCCTACATTATGCTTGTTGCATTCAAAACATTTCCAACTATCTCTTAGAATGGTAAAAGTGCTCAAGCTCAGAAAGGCCAAACGAGAGTAATTACAGAGCCGAATACTAAAAACTGTTGCCTCACAAAGCAGAAACTAAAATGAAATTGGGTATTATCAAGAGATCAACATAGCAATGAAACAAACCATCAAAATGATAAACACCACAGCCAAAACCCAACATACCCAAGTCACTCTCTTCTTCTGGTGCTGCTTAGCATAGAAAAGACTGTTAGTTCCACCACTGATGAAACTTCCAGCAGTAGCCATATTGCGCTCAATATCATCAATCTGTTCACTTTGTGTCTCAACTAAAACAGCCATATCAAGAAATACTTGATGAAGTTTCTCCAGGCTCTTCTGTATGTCCATTACAGCCTCATGCCTATCTTTCTCCTCCACATTCATCTCTGTCTTTCCTGCAAATATTTCAACTTTCCCACTTCCTCCTGACACCATCTTCTCAATCACTTCCTCTGTTGGCTCCTGACCCGTCTCGTTATAATATCTCCTTCTAAGGCAGTCTTTGTAATCTGATATGATTTTCTCTCTTAAAGCCTGAAACTCATTCATAATGTCCCTAAGCTTGACCCTCAATCCATTGGTCATATTAACTCTCGTTCGATCAACCACAGTGCCTTCTGCATATGCCATTGATAATTTGCGATTAGCCACATTTGATTTGTCGAGTGATTCAAGTTTTGCCTTGACAATCTTGGCTTTGCGGAGGACAGAAACCATGTCTGAATCCATTCTATCTCTAAGGCCACGAAGAACTTTGGGGCCGTGAGTGGTCTTAGTCTCTTCATTCAGATTTTGAAGATCAATCAAGAGATTAGTAATCTCTTGAATGTCAACTTTCACTGTCTCGATTTCATGGAAGAAGTTGGAAAGATTGTCTTCATCTGTGCGGCTGAGTTGGCCCATCTCCAAATCCCTCTCTGTTTCAAGATCCACCTGGGCTTGTTTCTTCAATTCCACATAACTTAAGAACGATTTCGTCATGAGATCGTTCATCTTCACTCCACTTTCTGGAAACTCTACAATTAATCAAGAAAAGAAGTTTACAGCAGTGGAAGGAATTGCATGCAAGAAAAGATTTCTACCATTTTTTTTTTCAGTATGGCAATTTGTTATGAAATAATCCGATTGAAAATGAAATTCCACACCAAGAAAACATGATAAAAGAGGAAAAGATAAACTAAGAATTAAGGGGAAAAGAATGTTTTTTAAAAATGGCGTCTTGAAAACAAAGAATGCAATGAGTGAACTCAAAAAGAAACCTTACACTACAAGTTCTGATAGAACAGAATTGGGGGGTGTTATCCAATTTTTGAAGAGCTTTGCAGTTCTTCTCTCCTTCCAGATGATGAAGAAAATGGTGTGAGTCTTCTTCTTCTCCTTCTTTTGGGAACTGTATGGGCAAGAGAAGGGGAATTGGATTCTCAAGAGTTTCAAAATTTGGAAGTTTCGTAAGGCAGAAATGACAAGTAGCCGTTAAATAGTTGTCCCGCTTAAGTCGGTGACGGTTACTGACTCAAGTAATAATCCCAAGGAAAAAAGAAAGGAAGAGAGGGAAAGGTCGATACATAAACCACTCTGACTTGGCTCATTTTAAAGACTAAAGTAGAATTCCCGTTAAATTTAGTTGGCGTTTGGACATAAGAATTGTAAAATTTCGAGAGAAAGTGAATTTTTTTTTTTCAAGTAAAAATGATATTTAAAAATTAGAGTTATTTTTGGAAATGAATATAATTTTTTTTTTTAAATTTTTATGAGTGATCTGAATGAAAATTTTGAAAAATAGTTTTTTTGGATTTTTCCAAATTTTCGAACAATTTCAAAATTCATCTTCAAGAGAAAATTTAAAAATTTATGGCCAAACACTATGTATACGGCTGAAACCGAACTCATCTATTGCATGACGAATCGGAACCAAATGTGATGGATTGAAGGTCGACTACAGGTTCCATCGAACCAAAGTACGAAGTCAGAACATACGTCTCCAAGATCTTCGAGCCCATGACTCCGGAACCAACCCCAACTCCGAATAAGCTCGAGGAAACATTATCAGACTCAATAACAGAAGGCCAAAATATCCGCAACCGGTCGAATATCACGACGGAAATCTCGGCACATATGAATGAGAGACCTATTAATTAGCAAATCATGAGATTTCTTACTTTTGATTAGGGGTGTTCAAAACCGAATCGAAACCGAAAATCAAAGCTTAATGGCTTATTAGTATCGGGTTAACGGTTTAACAGACGGAGAACATATTGAATTTTTTTATTAGCGGCTTATCGTTTGAGGGGCGGATTATTCAATTTTCTTAACGGATAATCCGTTAACCTGTTAAGAATATATATATAATTTATTTTATCCATATCTAGCTATATTATTATAAAAGTACGAATGTTCTACGCTAAATGTTGATTGATAAAAATATCCTCAAAATATTAATCGGCTTTTATGCCCTTACAAGACTAAATTCCTTCAACGAGATAATTTATGTTGGATAGAATTGTAATATTGAACTTTACCAATTATTTTCGACGTTTGAATTCAACTAAACTTCTGCCTACTTGAATTTTTGTCAATCCACCAGGAATTTGAAAGCGTTCCCGGTTCAAATTGATAACTGTTTCAAACTCATATTTCTCCTCTTCACTGTTTTCGAGTATTAAGGTTTATATGCACTAATAACTTTTATCTTATTTAACATAATATCAAGACACATGATTTTCTTTTCAATTGTTTTGAATTATTAGTAGGTAATAATTTTATAAACTTTTTGTGATCCTACATTGTTTGATTCGTAAAGAAATCTCTTCCTATTCATTTTATATATAGTCATCGTGTAGTAACTTTTTATATGTTTTATTTCTATTCTATACAATAGGATTAAGATTTTAATGTATGATTTTGTACTAATTGACACAAAATTATTTCTGTGACTTCTACGTCTATAAATTAGAAATTCTAATTTTTACTTTCACCTAAAATTACATTTGTTTTTTCTTATCCTGGGCAAATATATATTTGTAAGTTCTAACTAACAGAACTCTTGGCCTAGCAATTCTGTCCAAGCAGATGACATGTTAAACTATACAGTAGGCCCACTTCTAATCATAATATTAGCACACCAAGAAATCTTTCACATGGACTAAGGCCAATGTGCATAAACATAAATAAGATTCTAGACAGATGATTTACCCATCACGGTGTCTCTTCTGCTTCGTCCCTCTTAGTACGTCGACCACCTATGTAAACATACAGAGACTAAATTTTATTTTATTTTGATTGAATTAGGCCGATAAACCGCCCGATAAGAGCTAAACTGATATCAATCCGTCCGATATCTTATTGGGTGGCTAGCAGATTAATACATTTAAAAGCCGATAACCGATAAGCCAAACCGTTAAGAGTAAATAACCGCCCAATCCGCCCGATAAGCAGCCCTACCTTTGATAGAGTTGTATCTAAAGCAGGATTTTCCTACTATATAAAGGGGGTCTGATTCTTTGTAATACATATTGTAACAAGCATCCTAAAGTATTATAATATTATTTTCTTACTGCAAGCCACTGTTCTGTATTTGACATCATTTGGATCATATTCAATTCAAGTGAAACTTATTTCCCAAGGTTATAACTATTCAAGTCACACGGTTTGAATTTACTTTATTATTATTTTCTTTGTTTATAATTCAATCCATTGCTTTGTGCCAGATTAATCCACGTATCCTTAAAACCACTTATAAATTTAATTATTATCTGATTTAAAGGGTAAATAATTTGGTGTCCACCGTGGGGCTAAGGATAATAATGGTTATTTGATACGAATTTTCATAACACATACTATTTTACACTTGTTCTTTGAAGTGTCTCTGATTTCAGGCTTAAACTCAAAATTTCAAACTCACAATTAGCACCTCTGCCTGCTGACGGTGAGTCTGGTCACCACAGTGAAACAATAACATAGCGCCCAGTAACGAGGTACCACTTGTTGATCCCGTTGGAATTCCAATTGCGAACCCGTTGGACGCTAATTTGCATGTGGCTATCGACACAAGACTCCCTACTGACCCCGAGAATAGCATCAGTGGTGGAGCTTGGTCAACATCACAGAACACTCAAAACAATGGAGGAGACGGGGTCAATCTACGGATGATCTTTGAAATGTTGCAGGGTCAACAAGCGGCAATAGCTCAGCTACAAAACCAGAGCCGCGTACCGAGCAGGATCGAGCCCGACCCGTTTTGAGAGATATTGGTCGCGAAAAGGACGAGTGGAATGGGTCGGCTAATAACCCCGAGATCATAAAAATGCTCGAGGAGCTGACAAAACGAATAGAATCAGGGGAGAAGAAAATCGAAGCAAACGACAAAAAGGTGGAAACCTACAATTCTAGGGTCGACCAGATCCCGAGAGCGCCACCAATATTGAAAGGCTTTGATTCCAAGAAGTTTGTACAGAAACTTTTCCCTCCGAGTGCGGCTCCGAAGCCGATCCCTAAATAATTCTGCATGCCCGAAATTCCTAAGTACAACGGAACGACCGACCCACACGAGCATGTCACTTCATACACATGCGCCATCAAAGGAAACGACTTGGAGGATGATGAGATCGAGTTTGTCTTGTTAAAGAAATTGGGAGAAACGCTATCAAAGGGAGCTATGATATGGTATCATAATTTGCCCCCTAATTCTATTGACTCATTTGCTATGCTTGCAGAATCTTTTGTGAAAGCACATGCCAGGGCTATCAAGGTCAAAACCAGGAAATCAGACCTCTTCAAAGTAAGACAAAAGGATAATGAAATGCTCAGAGAGTTTGTATCTCGGTTTCAAATGGAACGGATGGACCTGCCACCAGTCGTTGATGATTGGGTCGTTCAAGCTTTTACCCAAGGACTGAATATTCGAAGTTCAGTGGCTTCACAGCAGTTGAAACAGAATCTGATAGAATATTTGGCTGTCACCTGGGTTGATGTGCATAGCCAATATCAATCGAAGATCAGAGTCGAAGATAATCAACTAGGGGCTCCTTCTGGGTCCGTTTATCCTGTTAGACCCATCAACAGAGTTGAGAGAGATATCGATCGTGAACCAAGGTCGAACAAAGATCGGTATCAGCCGTACAATGAGGATCGAAGAAGCAATAGGTCCAGACGAAGTTCTATACGAAATGAAAAAAGAAATGAGCGAGGCTAGAGCAACCGGGGACTTATGAGCAAGAATGGTTTCGATGGGCCTATCAGACCCAAAGAAGCACCGAGGTTATTAGAATATAACTTTAGCGTCGATGCTGCTGCTGTGAGCACGTAATTTTTGCCTCACCAAAAATACTCCTACAAAAATCAATAAATAGAATTTTTTTATATAGAATTTTTAGGAATTTTTTGTTAATTGTTTGCATTTAGTTTCATTTTTATGCATGTTTAATATATTAAAGTCATGAAAAATATCAAAAACATTAATTCTTCATTGCGTAGCATTTTAGATCTTATTTTGTGATGACCCAAAAGGTCATCTCGTATTTTAGAACCCAATCCGGTGTTCCGAGGCCTTCAAGACCTCATTTCTTTCTCCTCGATTTGTGTGCGCATTTCGGGCGCGCTTCCAGAAAGCCCTTATGTGAAAATTTGAGAAAATGCTAATTTGCCTTTAAAATTAAATTTAAGTTGACTTCGGTTAATATTTTGGGTAAATAGACCCGGACCCATGATTTGACAGTCCCGGAGGGTCCGTAGAAAAATATGTAACTTGGGCGTATGCCCGGAATTGAATTACGAAGTCCCTAGCCCGAGAAATGAATTTTTGAAGAAAATTGTTTAACTGAAAATATAAGAGTTTTTAGAAATTTAACGATGTTTGAATTTGATGGTATCGGGCTCGTAATTTGGTTACGGAGCCCGGTACAGGTTTAATATGGTATTTAAGTTGTGTATGTAAAATTTGGTAAGAAACAAAATTTATATGACGTGATTCGGACCCTCAGTTGTAAAATTTGGTATCGGGCTCGTAATTTTAAGAGTTCTTGAGATTTTTCCTTGGTTTTGATGCTAAACTTGTAATTCTAGGTATTATTTTGGCGATTTGATCGCACGAGTAAGTCCGTATGATATTTTTAGACTTGTGTGCATGTTTGGTTTGGAGCTCCGAGGGCTCGGGTGAGTTTCGGATAGGTTTCAGGATGTTTTGGACTTAAGAACTTCTATTGTATTGTTGCTTCTGGTGTTCTGATATTTTGTTCTTCGCGTTCGCGATGCAACTCTCGCAAACGTGTAGTGCAAGCTGGGTTGGGGAGGGGTTTCTTCTACGCGAACGTGAGGCCTTGGTCGCGAACGCGGAGCACTGGGGAGATTGCTCTTCGTGAACACGACCGGCCATACGTGAACGCGTAGTGTAATGGAGGGGGGCTGGGGGAGTCTCTGAGTTGCTCTTCCCGAA